TCTGTTCCTCGACCGAGTCTGAGATGACTGAGAGATCAAGAGAGACTGAGCGTTTCTGACGCGTCAGACGCGTTGGCTCGTTTTTAGCGTTTTACAACCATATAGCGCTCATTTATACGAAATTTTATCCACGGACGACGTAAACTTCATATCACATTCAATTATGATTGAGAAAAAAAAATCAATCTTTCGTTCATGTTTGTGACTTGCTTACCGCCACGTTACAGTCCACAGATCGACACAAACGAAAAATCATGCAGCTTTCCCTTTGGCACGTTTAGGTCTATCAGTCAGCTAAAAATTGGTATAAAATTTCACAACACAGTATTACACGTACGTTTCTCTCTCAGCCTTTTGTTTTGCTTGTGCTTTACCATAACCATTTTTTTTAATAACGTAGAAAAGAAAAATCCAACAGACAACATACTTCAAACTCGTCTCATCGATGAGGTGGAGAGATTTCACTCGAATGGCGGGGATGAATGAAAAAGACACCCACCGCGTCCTTGCACGTGATTACTTTAGTGACAGCTGATTGGTACGGTTCTGACAGAAGCTAGCTTATTTCTCAAATAAAGATTATCGAAACCATGAAACTGTTCTCACCGAAACTACTAGGACCAAATTAGGGACAAGGAGACTGTGAATTTTTTTTTCTTTTTTGGTAAAATGTTGAAAGTGGACGTTTATTTTCATTTGTGAACCAGGAGGACCAGGAAGGTTCAAGAAAAGTTTCACCCCAGGTGCACCTTTTCCGGTCCTATGCCAGGTCAAATCGCTTTTGATTTTTTAAGTTCATCGAAGCGAGTGAACAACAGATAATCAAACATAGCCAGAGGTTGAAGCTATTCACAACAATCCAATTTATACCTTAAAAAGGCTGCGCTGTATTCCCTCGAAAACCCCCGAATTTTGTGATCCTGCCAACCGCTCATAAGCAAGGGTTCCCTCGCTGACCGTGACCTTGACCTTTCATATGGAGCTCGTGAAGTATGGTTTTGACACCAGATATGCCGATATTACACTGTATGTCATCACGTTGAGGCATATACCCTGGGGAGGCTTTCCATAGATGGTTTTTCTTTCGAGCGAGTAGCTCAGTCCAATCTGGAGTGGATCTTTAGTAAGCTGGATTCTGGATTCCAATCTTTAGTAGGATTCCGGATTCCTAGTGCTGGATTCCGGATTCCGAAGCCCAGGATTCCGGATTCCACAAGCAAAAAATTCCTGGATTCTGGAATCCGGATTCCCTTTCATGGGGCGAATTTTCACGTCCTGCAAGTCCCATGATCATTAAGAGGAGGGTTTTCGTGGCAATCATGGAAGAAAAGCTCGTGTTAGGGTTAGGGTTAGAGTTACCTTAGGTTAGGTTTGGGTAAGGATTAAGTTAGGGTTAGGGTTAGGGTTAGGCTGGGATGAAGGTTAAGGTAAGGTTAGAGTTAGGGTTAGGGCTACGGTTAAGTTAGGGTTACGGTTAGGGTTAGGAGATTCCGAGTCAGGTAAGGAAACCTTACTCGAGTATGGCGTCGATAGCTCTGAGGAACTGGAGGTGAATCAGTGAATACTGCAGGATATTCACTGATCGAGTAGCCAATCAGAGCGCGCGAAAAACACTATCCACTGTTTTAGTATACACTAAAAATAAATAGACTAGATTATCAGTTTTCGTTTGTCTCAACTTTTAAGACTCGGTCAGAGTTTGAGACACTGGGCGGTACACACCCGAAAGTTATTGGAGTACCTCCCCCGGAAAATGAAACATTTAAAAATCAGATTTTCAAGCTACTAAACGGTGTTTTATTCCCCTTGCATGAGATGTTTACGAGGATTTCTTCCTTTGTTGGTAATAGAAAAATCACTCATAATTTAATGCATCTTCAGGTGGCTGTTATTTTGACATATATCAATCATTTTATTCGTACCTAATTGTATAATTACTACATTAGGAGCGAACTTCTCGACTACACGACGTAAATCATACTCCAAGTTTTCGAAACCGTTCTAACTCCAATCCCATGCCAACTTATGAGCAGATGGCCTTCCAAACTTAAATTTTTTGCAATTTGCGTATTAAAATTGCGGCAAAGAAAATCGTGCAGACGGCGAATGAGAGTGACCCAGATTTAAAACATGGATTGGCAGCATGAGGCGAAAGAAAATAGAATATATTCAAAGGAAGCACTTGCCTGAAAAGATTTTGCCTGTGATCTGACCGAGATGATCACGAGGGAGAGAGGGAGGTATTCAAGACAATCATTAACCAATTATGAGTAATGCTTGTCCACCCAAACGATCCCAGGACTCGTTGCGCCGAAAGCAAAATCTTCCAATATACTTACTTAACCATGACACCGCCCTAAACCTCATTGGCTAGATTTGCAGCATCTGGTACAACCTGCCCTAGAGAGTTATCATGTGAGCACCATGCCTTGACATAAATTACATTATGTCTGCAGATTACAGAAAACGGAAACAAATAGCTAGAGTTTTCACCTCTCAAAATCTGACCTCATAGAAATGAATAGTGTCGTGATTCATAGCTATAATTACTCAGCAAGAAACTCAGTTATGGTTTTAATAACAAACTGTGCGACAAACTAACAGCTTACAGGAAAAACAATAGCTGTGAGACAGCTCTCTTGTCTTTGACTGAGAATTGGAAATTCGCTCTGGATGAGCATAACGTTGTGGGTGTTCTCTCCGCGGACATGAGCAAAGCCTTTGATTCACTTTACCATCCGCGCTTACACTCGCAAAACTTAAAGCTTATGGTGTTGAGGAAAGAAGTCTGCGATTGATGGGCTCCTACTTCACAGACCGTTATAACAGGGTCAAGCTAGGATCTGTAGTGAACGAGTGGTAGAGGGTAACCAGGGGATGCCCACAGGGTTCTGCATTTGGACCTCTCATCTAGAACATCTTCCAAAACGATTTGACTTATACTGTTGATGCGAACATGAATATGTATGCAGATGACCACCAGTTTTATGTCGTTCGCAGCACCCTCTCTGATGTGCATGATGATCTTGCTGTTTGCGCTGAGTCAGCATCTTCATGGTACAGACCTAATTTACTAAAGGGGAAATTTGGACAAGTACCAGACAATGGCACTTGGTTGCGGAAGGAAGTCTATGGACAGTATTATGATTGACAATCATGAAGTCAGATCCACTGAATGTCTCAAGCTATTAGGTGTCTGTATTGATAACAATCTTCGTTTTGATGAACATATAAGTAGCATCTCTAAGAAGAGCGCCCAGCGGGTAGGCGTTCTCATGAGGCTCAGGAGCCTTATACCCACACAAACTAAGTTACAGTTATATAAGGCAGCTGTTCTCCCGTATTTAACCTACTGCCATCTTATATGGCATTTTTGCCGTGCTAGTGATTCTAGACGACTAGAGCGTATCTAGGAAAGAGCACTTAGGGCTATATATTGTGATAAACATTCGTCCTATGGTCAATTACTATCTATGGCTGGGCTATCTACTCTACACAACCGGCGACTACAGGACATAGCTATTCTCATGTATAAAAAGTTAAAAACAACATGTGCCCAACATACATTAGCACTCTTTGAACAGCCTGCAATTAAGTATGAACTGCGCAATCATGACTTCACTATACCCAGATTCAACACAGTCTCCTTTGGAAAGCACTCGCTCAGGTATATGGGCCCAAAGGTATGGAGTTCTGTTCCTAGTAACGTGAAAAAAGCTTCCACGTTGTCCTCCTTCAAATATAGCATCAGAAAAGTGGATCTTAGCATGCTGTTAGATGACAATAACTGCTCTAACTGCTCTCTTTGCACTTCTTAATCTTTTATTTCTTATTTTTTATAAGATAATGGATACATTCGTACATATTGTATATAGTTCTCTCGAATTTCTCACTTGCTTATACTATATACTTATACTAGTTTTTCTTAATGCTAATTAATTTATTAATTGATTTATTCTTTTTTAATTTATTTTAGTGTCCCCACTTAGTGGTTATACACCGCTATTACAGTTTTGACACTTTAATAAAGGTATCATCATGATCATCATCATTACATAGTATGTGAGTGACCATAACAACAGCAGTTTATTCAATTAGCAAATAATATAAGAGTAATGTTACCCACAATTAGCGTAGCTATTCTAGGTGGGCAACAATACAATAATTGTCTAGCTCCTGTAATAAAGTCGGCAAAAGAACGTAAGTAAAGAGAAAGCGAAAATAAAATAAATAAATAAATAAATAAAAGGTATCACCAATTGAAAATAATAATATTAAATGTTAAAACAAGTTCGATACTAGATAAAACTATAGATATTAGGAAAGAAAACACTAACTGAATAAGCAGTTCAGGTAAGAACTGGTAATCAAATGGTATTCATATCTAGCTACATACACCTTCTTAGTCTCCAAAACCTTGATCAGTAATCCATGTAATTTATGCTTGAAAGGGTCTTTGCGTTGTTCAAGTAACGTAAGAGGAATTTTGTTCCATTTTCTTACACCACTTCTAGAAAAAGATGATATTAGCTGATTGGGTCTAGATCTCTGGACATGAAAATTACCTGCGGCAAAAAATCTGGTATTAATAATGAGAAAGGATCATGTTAGAACGCACGAACAATTCAGAAATTTTAGAAGGAGTGACACATAAACAACTTCAACAAACAACAAATTTTCTTCCTTGTTGTTTTCTTGTCACTGCACTAAGATGTATCCCATGGCCTTAATGTGCTTGTTACCATTATCAGCGTCGTACCGGGCTAGTGCATCATTTCCACACGTGTTGAAGTCGTCGGGATATCCACCAGTACCAAACTCGATCCTGGAATCACAGGATTTGCATTCGTTTTCGTTGTTAAAGAGGATACCGATTCTGGCTTTGGCCGTGCCACCCATAACATTAAATCGTTCCTTGTTACCGGTTGTTCCTTAGAGCCAATCAGTGACTTCAACGTGTCACGACCCAGTGAGGTCTTGCGGTATTGCCCATCAGAGATCAAAGAGTACAAGGAGTTCGCCTGCTGGTTGATGACAATAAACTTGATCTGCTGACCGATCTTCATACCGAGGCAGATTTTGGAGAAGGATGTGTTCCAGTAGGAAGGAAGTTTAGTTTTCCTGTGATTCAAGCACAGTCTTCCCTCCGTCAAGGTTAAAGGTTTTGTTGTTACTCCAAAAGGCGTTATCGTAGTGAAACGCATGTTGTGATAAAAAAGAAGGAGAAATAGAATGTGGTCGTGATACAAGAAAAACTTCAACAAATTTTCTTCCGTGGTGGTTTCTTGTCACTGCACCAAGATGTATCCCATGGCCTTGATGTGCTGGTCGTTATTATCACCCTCGTACGTAGCTTCGTTTCCACACGCGTTGTTGTTATCATATTTTCCTCCAGTACCAAACCCAATTCTGGAGTCACAAAGATCGCAGTCGTTTTCATTGTTACCAAGTATACCGATTCTTACTTTGGAGTGGTCCAAGTCCTTACCATAAGCATTGAACCCTTCCTTGTTACAGTTGTACTGCAAGGAAGCCTCAGAACCAATCAGCGACTTCCACGTGTCACGACCCAGTGAGGTGTTGCGGTATTGCCCATCAGCGATCAGAGAGTACAAGGAGTTCGCCTGCTGGTTGATAACAATAAACTTGGACTGGCTGTCTTTGATCTTCATACCGAGGCAGATCTTGGAGAAGGATGTGTTCCAGTAGGTGGGAAGCTTCGTTTCATGGTTGTCAAACCCAGTCTTCCCTCCGTCAAGGTTAAAGGTTTTGTTGTTACTCCAAGAGGCGTTATCGTAGTGAAACGTTTGCTGTGATAAAAAAGAAGGAGAAATAGAAAAAATGTAATTAGAAACAAATTATTCACTTTTGCCTTTTTTTGATAAAAGTGAAAATGGCACGTATCCTGTCGGAGGAGAAAAAAAGAAACTTCCATGCAAGGAAAGGCAACCTCCGGTTTTGTTGTTGTTGTTGTTGTTTGTTGTTTCGTTTTTTCAGCATTAAATGTCATAAGCCACAGCAGGCTTAATAAAAATTAACAAGAAAAATCATTTCACTCAGTTATAATGTAATATGTAATTATCTTTAATCCATATGTATCCGCTAGTGCAAAGAGGGCTTGATAAATTGATCTTATATGAAACTCCTTTTCGTAATTTTCTCCTTCTCAGCTTTTTATTTAATCCTTTACCGTATAGTCAATCGGTGCTTAAGCGCCCTATAAAACTATTTGGAAGGAAATTTCCTAATCATGTTTAGTTATGCATCGCATGATCGTTTTGGATTCAACCTTTAAATCCATTTAAATATATTGCTCTTCAAATTGTACAAACCTGCCACAAAGCAATGCTTAGGACCGTTTAAGCTCAAAAAACTTCAGCGGGAGTTCTTCAATTAAAATAAGCTCAGACAAACTCCACCCCGATTGTTCGTATTGATAAATTTCATTTATTTATTTGTTGAGACTAAAATTTTGATGAAATAAAAACGCACGCTTGGCTAGCTTTTAAGCGACAGTCATTATATGTATTGACCAGGGGGGAAGGGGACTCTATTGCCTCCACCTAAGTTTCTTGACCCACTCCGCCTGCCAGTATGACGTCACATAGTAACGGGCAAGAGCCTCGGGTCGCTTGTGCAAATTAGCAAGGGATACGACAGTTATTTTGGCGAGCGATGCCGAGGAAAGGCTAAGAAGCTAGCAAATATGGCTATATATCGCTTATTTGATCGAATGTGTGTGAGCTTTGGTGTTGCTATAATCTGCTTATGTAAACCGTTTTGACATTTTGCATCCGTGATTGTATAATTTTGTTAATTTGTTTTGCCGGTCGTGTTGCGGGATCGCCATCTATTTCACGGGACCGGCAAGGTCATCAAAACTTAAATCTTTTTTTTTTCTCTTAAATAAGCAAGGTCTAGTCTCTAGAATAGGAGGTTCTCTTCACAGATCACACATCTTTATATTTCATTTATTCTTTTGTTAATTAAACGGGCCTAACTTCATATCATTCCTTTCGAGTGTGGGCCTCCGTTGATCTCCTAATTCTCCACCAAATCCAGTAAAGCTAGTTCGATCGATTATCTACATCGAGTCGGCCCGTTGAATCCGAAATAATGCGAAATAGCTTTGAAATACGCGCTTAAGCTGCCAATCTTCCTTAAATGTATATTTGAATTCATGATAAATACAGCTCCACCCGTTTCAAACAGCGTCTATGGCAGAGAAAAATTGTTTTGATATGACAAAATTAATTTATCCAATCATGTGTGTCACTCTGGTGCAGTGGTCAAGTAGTTGCTTGAACGTGCAGATAAACCGGATTCGACTCCCGGCGACGCTGTTTTCTGTTTCTCTGTACCGTTTTTTTTTTTTTGGTCTGTTTGGTCTCTCTTTTTTTGACACCGTTTTTCCTTTTGGCCTTTTTTTCTTTATTCTTACTGCTGACCCTGCTGGTCATGCACTTGGATCAATAAGTATTAAAGCTCTTGATCTGCATACTGGCCAAGCTTACGACCAGAAAAAAACCATTAAGCTGTCAAGACATGTCTCTCCTCTGAAACAACTGACTTTTTTTCAATGTTAGTTGACATTGTGACAAACAACACACAGTACACCACAAACTGTACTAATTTACACCCAACACCCACCAGTGACCCACGGGCAAAGGTTAAACCAGTGCCTACCCTAAAATCTCCCCTGGGGCAGTTGCCCCCAAAAAATAATTATAACGAAACCTTTATTGGTTTTCGGGATTTAATTACAGAATTACAGGAGTATGCCCAATGCAGTATTAAAATGCGGTAAAGCAATAAGATTCAATGCTCACAGTCTCTCACAAATATACATGTTATTTAGTTTCCTCTTTTAACGCTACAGCTGAGCTAACTTTGAGAGGAATGATATGGGGTTCCACTAACTCTGAAGAGCTGAATATACTCTCAATGTAAAGTATAATACATCCTTTGATGAACCTCCTATTGCTGGCTAAACTCATCAATCTAGCTGTGCACTGGCCCTCAAAAGTGTGACCGGTCGGTTAGACTGTTCACAGTCGTCTATTTTGCCATAAGATCGTCGAGATCGAGCGCTCCACGACGCCCGCCCCCTCGGTACATTTCATCAACACGAACGCGTCCTACTTCAACACACATAGGTTGGAGAGTGGAGGAAAATTTTCCTGAAACTTTTAAATCTCAGTCGGGAAAAAATAAAAATGTTATTCACCAGCCTAGGTCGGTCAGTATTGGGAGAAACTGTGCCCTCGGTCTGAGAACTGGTAATCAAGACCTCGGGCACAGTTTCTCCCAATACGGACCTCTCAGCCGGTGAATAACATAAATTTATTATTCATATTGCGCATATTCTATAAAAATAATCATATGTGCATAAAGAAGTACGTGTACTTTTTTTCCATCAATCTTCATAACCAGCGTCCATCCACCAACTCCGCATGTGTCATTTTCAGTAGGGACCACGGTCATGTTGCAATAGATGTCAAAAACAGCATCTCCTAAAATCAGTGGATAGGCTTTGCTCTCGTTTGATCTGCAAAATGAAGGAACAAAATACCTTAATATAAAGGAGACCCGAGGATCGACTATAATCTACAGTTCAATCGCCAGTAAGGCAAATCGGTTGATACGCCAACTACGAAGATGTCTCTCTGCTGATGTCTGTACGTACTGTAAATGTATCTGAAGTTTTGCATTTTGACAGCTGTCAATTAACCTATTTTGGTATGGTGTAAATCAAGTAACAAAATTGACAGGTTACAAGATTTTCGGACCTGGTCGGTGCCTTCTGTGGGCATCCGACCTTTCAGGGCCATAACATGTCGACACATTTCTTCATTTTACGTTAAATCCTAAAAAAGAAAATAAAATTGGTGTTTTATAATCAACTCACATTTTCTTGTCAAAAAGATCTTTACACGATGAAACTGTTACAAAATAAAAGAAGAAAGTTAATCAATAGATATTCTGGGATGCTTCAACGTGCGAGTCATCGTATATCCAGTTGGTCACATTGATTACTCCGGATATCACAGATACCGAATCTAATAGTTATTTCATTATTCATATTCACTTTTTTAAAGGAAATTATAGCACACCGTCGCACCAAACACAGACTACTATTTTACAAAATGAATACAGGTTGCTTGTTGGTTGGAAATCATGATTTGCGTGCGCAAACTACTAATTTGACTGATTTGTTAGTTATCTGCTACAGATAATCTGAAGGTTGCGTTGATATCCAAAATTAGCTGTAGGCTTCCAGTCAATGAGAAGACAGATAGTAAGTGAGTGTAATGTATGATAACGTAATTTATCAAGCATCTTCTTAGTCGATATAAAGTCTGCTAACTCACCTGGTTCACAGTTCTTTCCATCTCCGTAATATCCCCGATGACAAGTGCAGTTGTATCCTCCCTTGGTATTATTACAGTAAGCATTGGCACCGCAGTTGTGAGTATTTCTTGCGCATTCGTCTATGTCTATAAAAACAGATTATAATCAGTCCACCTGATGGTTATATTAATCATAAGAAACTCGTGAAAACACAGTTTATGATCAACCCATGGCCAGTCAGAAGAAATACTCGCAAAAAGCATTGTTGGCAGAAACCTTTTGATATGAGACAAACTTTAAGTACCTATTCTAGGAAATATTTAAAAAGCAGAGGACTCAGGTTAAAAATTGCCACATACCAGCATTTCCGGCTCAATTCTAATTCGATCCGAAATGTCGTAGCCGATAGTAAATAAAGAGCCACTTTGTGGATACAAAGAAAGTTCGAAACATTCATTTGTTTTATCTATTTATTTTTATTTCATGAGGCATTCAAAGGGACACCATACTAATACATACATGAAAACTATAAAAAATATATTCTTAACTTAAACTGAGTTGAAATTGAACTAATTAAAACTTGAAATCGTCGGTATATTTGTGAAAAATCGCTTCAAAACGGCGTAAGAAAGTTATGCCTTTCAGTCTTAAATATCGAAGATTATTTTGTGCGAAATTCCATGATCGTTCTTGCAAGAAGCGTGGAAAAATTCTGGTAAAACGAAATTGTCCATTGTTTGCTATAACTTACGTACCGTTCTCGCAATGCTCCCCGTCAAATCCAACAGGACACAAACAGCGGTAGCCTTTACCGGTAAAACCGGTTTGACAGGTTGCTTTGTTCTTGCAAGGTTTATTCGCACATCCGTTCTGGGACACGAAAAGAAAACATACATCCAGCAATACTTCCTTAATGGTAACCTGAATGTAAGCTTATTTCCTTCAAGTAAACTGATAATTTGTACCTTAGCTCCATAGTATATATAATCAGGATTTGACTCCATATTTCCCTCTCCTTCTCTTGAGGTGGAGTTATTCAGCTCACATTTCCTTGTGGCTCTGTTAAAGTTGTAACTGACGCAGTTTGGTTCCATGTAGCACAAAGTCCGGCAGGATCTTTCACCAGTGACGTCAACAGTACGAATCACGTGATTTTTGAGGCGCTTTCCATCAACAGTGTGGTAGAACTGTAGCTGGCGACAGGTGCCTGAAAGAAACGAAAATTAATGAGTACTGATCATGAAAATAGCTTGACTTTCATTAGACAAGACCTACTGTACATATAACGAAAGATTTCTCCAGGTTTTATTCAATCCACAGCTTACTGTTTCAGCTTTTAACGAATCTCAAAATAACCCCCAGCAACAAACCACTCAAAGGAAATTTCACCAATTTCACCAAGTCGCAACTAAACAACCTAATGTCAAACAGGAAATTTAACTTCAACGACAAAAACAAGCAATATCGTAAATTATTCCCACGGGACTCCTAGTTGCATGATAACAAAAAAGTAATTAGCCGGAAACAGGTGCCGGCAATATCAAAAAGGGTTCCAATGCCAATTTTTAACTGATTACTGGCCACAAATTTGAGACTAGCTAAACTTTGAATGGTAATTAAGGATAAAAAGATATCGATTTTTAGCTAGGAGTACTATTATTGGAGTTCCCTCTCACTTTTATTACGCCTTTTTTTGGCTTCTGTATAAGGCGTTTTTATTTGTCGGTCTATGTCAGTCTTGCTGACCTCTTCCAACAACTTTATTTCTGTGACTGTAAATACCCATTGTTTGAGTTCAAATATCGACTGACTCAATTCTCCATTGATTGTGACCCATTCCAGGACAGGAGTGAATCGAGCGAAAACAAATAGCACTGCACGCTGATCACCGATCTGAAACTGATCTAATTATTCGAAAACACTTATTTATATCCCTTATAAAACCCTTCCCGATTCAAAAGTGCTTCTTCCCTTCTCATATTTATCTCAACTTCCTCGTAAATCCTTAAGCTCAATAAGTATAAGCGTGATTCATATGTGGTTGGTATCTTTAAAAAAAAAACTCAGGAGACCAAAATTGCCAATTAAGTATCACTTCAATGACTAAAAAGAACAACGTTCCAAATAAACACTATGAGCACATTATGAGCCACAAATTTCTCTTTCACTGTCACAAGCAATCAGGAGTTGAATATGTTTTCCTTATTTCTAAATACATAGGATTTGACTAAAGTTTGACTAATAGTTGTAAGAGCGTAACACACGAGAGCCAACATTTTAATAAAATAAGTTCTTAAAACGTAGGTATAATAAAATTACCTTGTTTGTTAACCTTTTTAAGTCTATAAAGAACTGGCATAGAATCATTTGTGAGACTTAAACCGGCCTATCCTAAACATTCTGGCAATAACATGTCTTTAGTGTATTATTTTTAATGTAGGCTAGAACGTATATAGCGGAGTAACTATAAATAATTAAATATATTATTTTAGCATAGACCTGTCCTGTCATGTTTACTTTGAAACCTTTTATAACAGGTTAAGCCCATAGATTAGTGAATATGAAAAAGTGATAAATCTGCAAGTTACTTAGTGGCAATTTGTTTTTCTATTGCTTATATTTAATTTTTGTTTTAAACAAGGTACTCTTAACTGCTTAAATTGTACCAAGTTTCTTATTGAGAGTCAGGGAACCATCAGATAGGTCTGACAAAACTAACCTCCACTTGGACTGCAAAATTGCCCGTGAACCGGACAGAACAACTTGATTGTAAACCATAAGAAACAAAGAAAGAACATGACGAAAAAATGAAAACACTTTCGTCTGGAGGCTTGATAGAACTGTGCACACCTCGAAACAGCTCCTGTTATTACATCAACCTGCTGACAAGGGTCTTTAAACAAATTATTTATCAGTGGGAGTTGCCTCTCAGGTTTTGACCAATCAGCTCACACCTACAGCTCCAGGAGTAAAAGCGGAAAAAATGAATAATGAATAACGGGTTTTAAAAGAAAATGAATAATGAATAAATTATTTGCAGTTAGAAAATTGGACATTTTGATTGCCAAGGGGAATAATAAATTACTGTTCAATGCACCCGTTGATACAGTTCCATCAAAATACTTTAACCTTTGTCACGCGGCGGCCATCAGTTGTCCCAAGAGATTTAAAAAGCTTTGTTTATGCACGTCTAGCCTCGTTCTCTCTAAGAGAACGAAGACTTACAAAGCCTTTTAAATCTCCTGAGACAAAATGGCCGCCGCGTGACAAAGGTCTGTACATTTCAATTCACCACTTTAAAAACGACAGGGAAACAAACTGAACAGAGTTAACTTTCGCAAAGACTTCTGGGACTGTTACTATAGGGACAGGGGAAAAGATTGGCCAAAAGCTGACTGGCGCGTCTCCAGTAAAGATTCCAGAAACAACTGCGGGATGCATTTCGGCCTTAGTTCTCTTCTCGTTTCTAAAGCGCCGTATGAACACTTGCGTAGGTCAATTAGTAAATACATGTACTTCTCTCCCCCAAAAGCAGAATGTGTAGTGTCCTTGTACTTATTTCTACGGTGTAAGGATGTGTAGTTCTCTTTCCGTCTGAAAATTTATAAAGAATGGACCATGGGGTAGAGAAAAAAGTGGCTTGGGATCTGGGGAAAAATCCGTGAACGATATTTTGTTTCATGGGGCCGTATATTAACTAGGCCCACAGAAGAGCACACACTTTTGCCAAGCTCAAACTGAACTAGCGTTTTTGTTACCATTATAATCGCGGCAGCGTCATAAACATCATCTGATCGTCATGATTACACAACCGGTTACTTCGGGGTTCAAGGCAAATGCCTGATCCCCGGGCAGCGCAAAATTTGCTAATGCCCGACCCCCGGGACTAACAAGGCAGCTAGACAAATGCTCCGCAGTAGCCTGGGGAGGATGGGCGCAGCTGGAATTAAGAGATGCATTAAAAGGCAAAACCACAGAAACCATTGCGGGTTGCATTTTGGCCTCAGTTTTTTTCTCGTTTCCAAAGTGCCGTATAAAAACTGGCGTAGGTCGATTAGTAAAAACCTTAAACTTCTCTCCCTCAAAAGCAGAATGTACATGTGTCTACGGCGTAAGGATGTTGTACTTGTGTAGTTCTCTTTCCGTTTTGAAACTTTGTAAAGAATGAGCCATAGAGTAAAGGAAAAGGCGGCTAGGGATCTAGAGGGAGAATTCGTGAGTGATATTTTGTTTCATGGCGTCTTATATTGGGTCCAAGGAGGAGCACACACTAGTGCCAAGCTTAAACTAAACTAGCGTTATTGTTACCATTACAATCGTCATCACAATCATCACCCTCATCATCGTCGTCGTGATTGCACAACAGGTTGCCACAACCCCGGTACTTACTAGGCAGGCAAATGCCCCGCAGTAGCCTGAGGGGGATGGACGCAGCTGGAATTGACTGACACATTATAAAGGCAAAACCACAGCAACAAACTAGTTAGATCAGCCGAATCTTGAGTAGACCTGGAACACTGAAATCTCCAATGCTAAATCATAAAAACAGTAAACTGAACCCCACAGAAGGAAAAGTGAGAGAAAACAAAAATAGAGGGGCTTTCATCTTATATTTGCACTCGTTTTGTTTTAGTCCCCGTTGAAGGTTTGTGTTGCAAACCGAAATATCCGGCAAATATAATTCACCGTTCGATTTTGTTTCGATTTTCGTTTCCTTTCCTTATATATCTTTCTCTCACCCTTCCTTCCGCAAGGATCCAGTTTACTGTTTTATCTGATATTTTACTATAGCGATACTCACGCTGAAGTCACCTATTGATATTAATGCGCCAACAAGAGACCCATTGGTTCTTGTAACAAAACATTCTTTTGTTTCACTCGTTACAAATTTGAATAAGAAAAGCAATGTCTGCACGGTGGCTAATCGTACCGACATGAAAAAGTATTGGGCACAGTATGAACTGGAACCGCACCAGAAAGGTTGGTAGAGAGGGTATGGTGTAATAAAAAATAATACTCACTTCTGAATACACCGTCTCAGTAAGTTCCAGTCCTTGCTCCGACTCATTTACGTACGCTACGGACCGAATACATGTTCACAGAGACGAAGAGGTGGCAGAAGCTAATGTCCGTTCAAGGTCCACGGCTTAATACGGTGTTCACTTAATACAGGTAGGTTTCACTGAATTGCATGCATATGGTCAACCCGGCGTTAATCCGTGGGCAAAGTGTTTGCTGCAAGAGGACGAGCTACATTTGTTGCAAATGAATCCACTGTTCAAGGCCGTAAAGATTTTTTATTAATGTTTCTAGTCCAGCAATACGGCTCTAGTTTTCCCCGTTCGCAATTATGTAAAACAGCATTGTTTAGTTCACAAATCTTCAAGTACTAGAAAACATAAGCTTGTACTGAAGTTTTAAACTACTTTTTATTCACCACTTCTTATAATCTATAGCTACTACTGGCTTCAACGTTAGTGTGCAAACTGCAACTCATAGAGATGCACTGTCAGATTGCTAGCTGTATAAACACACAGAATGTGATCGTGATACAAGAAAAACTTCAACAAATTTTCTTCCGTGGTGTTTTCTTGTCACTGCAATAAGATGTATCCCATGGCCTTGATGTGCTTGTCGTTATTATCACCCCCGTAACTAGCTTCGTTTCCGCATGCGTTGTTGTTATCAGGTTTTCCTCCAGTACCAAACCCAATTCTGGAGTCACAATTATAGCAGTCGTTTTCATTGTTACCAAGTATACCGATCCTTACTCTGGACAGGTCCCGGTGCTTACTACCACTATCAGCATTGAACCCTTCCTTGTTACAGTTGTCCTGCAAGGAGGCCTCAGAACCAATCAGCGACTTCCACGTGTCACGACCCAGTGAGGTGCTGCGGTATTGCCCATCAGCGATCAGAGAGTACAAGGAGTTCGCCTGCTGGTTGATAACAATAAACTTGGACTGGCTGTCATAGATTTTCATACCGAGGCAGATCTTGGAGAAGGATGTGTTCCAGTAGGTGGGAAGCTTCGTTTCATTGTCGTCAAACCCAGTCTTCCCTCCGTCAAGGTTAAAGGTTTGCTTGTTGCTCCAAAAGGTGTTATCGTAGTGAAACGTAGTCTGTAATAGGAAAAATGGAAGAAATAGAACAATTGTAATTTTCAAAAAAGAAAAGGTCTACGTTTCACTTACAAACGACAGCGGTGTCCTCGTTTTTTTCAGAATTAAATCAAAATAAGCCTCAGCAAGCGTTTTGAATGGTCAACAAATAATTAGTAATAAAAAACAAATATCGCATTCATCTACAATTAATATAATTGAAAACTGTGATATAATAATCCTTAACCCTTAGCTTGCTTAACCCCCGTGATCCTAAATAATTTGTATGAAAATCTTTTTGGTACTTTTTCCTATGCTTCATTTGCATTTAATTGTAACCTTTGTTTTGCAAAATAGATAAAAGGAAATTTTCCTTAAAGACCTTAAATATTTAGTGATGCTCCAACTGCCAATTGATCTCTTTGTACTTCATCCTTTTTTCAATTGCCAGTTTTAGCTGGCACGCCAGCAAAAATAAGTCCAGAATTTGGGAAATAAGAGGAGTTGAATATGCAAGGACTATCGCCAAGATTCAGATCGGTGCAATTTTTCATCTTCGAGATATTAGGAGAAATGTCGGTGTCCATCTGAGAGGCACCAACATGGCGGCCGGATGCCAAAAGAAACATCTGTCCCTGACTTTTTTTACGAAAACAGGAACTCATCTCTCGGTGGAACTCATAAACATTAATTAAAAGTTATACTTTTTCTAATACAAGGACTGTTCAGATAGCAAAATCCCCCCCTCCCTCAAAAAAAAGTCAATTTTTTACCTACATGAAAGCTCAATTGACTGCCATGTAAATGCTGCGTCATCACATGAAAGCTTAAAAATTCAAGCGTAACCTATTACTCAAAGAGGAACCCTTCCAAAGGAAGAGTTTGTAAAAATATAACTTTTTAGCTGCCCTAATACTTCATTAAAGTGAAAACTAAAAAGTTTAGTTTGAATTTTGATGACGTCATGTGGAAAACTTCAAATTGTTTAAACTAGACGTGCCATTTAAGTCCGCAGGGAACACTCCCAATTCATTAATACATCCGTTTCTGCTACATCTTTTAAAACGCTTATATCTAGTCTGTTTTAGAGGCAATTTAGATAATCTTTCACAGAGACATTAAAGAATGATGGAAGTTTAGGAGGGTGTTTTTTTCTTTTTGGCGATCGCTTTTTACGGCAATGCTTTAAGCCACATTTAGGCTTAGGCCAAACGTCGAACTTTTCTTGAGAAGAACCAAACTTAGTAAGCTAAGTTCATGAAAAGTTCGACGATCGTCCCTACTCGTACGTTCTATACTTCAGAAGGATAGAACGTCTGAAGATCGTCTCCTGGACAAACGTCGATCTTGACATGCGACGAAATAAACTAAACTGATTTGTACCATAATGTAAATATCAGAGCCTCGTTCTGGAGAAAACTTATTACTGATCTGATTCTGCTGATTGGTTTGACTGGTCCTAAGTTCGACGTCTTACCCAACAGACGATCTTAACTTAATTTAGATATTTAAGTTTGCGGATCGAATAGAAGACAGCACTCTTTGATTTAATAATAAGGGATTGATCCAACCCTCCAGTGTGTCAAAGTGGATTCTCTATGTCACATGTCACGCTAGGAAAAAAAGTGTTAAAATCGGCCAAACGATTGAGTGGGGGCGATAGGCACAAACATTTTTGGAGTTCTTAGGGCTATAACTTTCTTTCCCTTAAAGGCATGACACTGAAATTAATACAGGCAACAATACTTGACTCCAGAAAAATTTTGGAATAGTCGTTTTGTTAGTAAAGAGTCACGTGACCATCTAGTGGTCAATTAAAAAGTCAAAACTCCCAAAGACTTCTCCTCCAAGAGAATTAAGGTGATTCCCTAGTTTTGCACCGCGCATCTCTTACTGCGCATAACAAGATGGCCGCCGTAAAAAAGAGCATGTGAAGTAACATTATTAAAACGAAGTTGACTGAAGAGAAGCGCTATTGGAATTTTTGCTTGCTGTTGTTTCTTGCTGAGGTGAGACTCAATGTGTTGGGAATGTGCATAACGTAAGCAGTACGCGTGTTGCTGAGTTCGACTTCCTCTCGGAGAACCTCGATAGTGGATGTTTAACTTGTGCTGACTCACTTTGATTTTCATTTAAACGCTTTCTTTATCACATTGTGTCCTAAATGTGATAAGAGCTACATTTAAGACATTTTTGCCTAAAAAATTATGAAAGTTCCCCCTTTCACATACATTCTATTTTGAAACTCGCCCCAGTCCTCTCTCAAAAATCGAGGAAAATGCATTTGGTGCGCACTTTCTGCAGCTCTACCGCAAGTACGGTGACCCCCATTTTTTATTTCATGATTTTAATAAGGACAGTGCTTCCTTTCGATGAGAAAAAAATTGGCACAAATCTATGCTCAGATTTTTGGCAGCTTTACTAAATTGTACGAATGAGCTATCACGGGTCGAATAGTGCGTGTCCAAAAAAATTCTACTTTTTAGCGTAAAGTAAAAACAAGGGCATTAAAATGCATTTTTCTGGTACGTAAGTGGATAAACAATACATTAAAGTCAAATTATGTGCGATACCACTTGCATCATCGAAAAAATCTCTCCTTTATGTCTAGTTTTGGGCTGCCCGCGGTTTTTGTAAAAGGGTCCAAAATAGCCGTATTTGTCAACATTGTGACGTCAAAACGAGCACGGTGATCCCCACTTTTTACTACTTTTGTATCATCTTCTTGACTTGTTGCATCAGTGTATCAAGTTTCATCTACAAGGTTCTTTTACTGAGGAATCACCTTAAACCTAAAAGTGTGATACTTTGCAGAAATATAGCGCACATAAAATTGAAGAACTTGTCCGATTTGAAATTCAAATTTCATTTTTGTGACGTCATAATTGATGATGTCACAAAATGGGCTTTTTGGTCATGCGCAGTACTAACCCAAAAATGGACAATTTGAAAAAATAACTTAACACAAATACAAAGTGAAAGTCTCAACTCATTATCTTCTATAGTTTAAGAGATATTTGTAACATTCCACGCATATTTTTAAACAGACTTTGGACACATTTTGTGGCCGAGTTTTAGCACTTTTTTTCTCAGTGTGTGTGCACACGTGAACACCTTAAATCAAGTGCCCATATTCTATCCCAGTTATGATTATCTCGTGAACTTGTCGACGTCAGTCGTTGTGCGTCGTGCATTCTCGTTAAATAAATTCCTAACAATAAGCATCAGGTGCCCCACCCCGCGACCTTAAAAGCCTCAGTGGTAGGCTCCGCCCTAAAGTTCAACCTCTTACCTTTTTACAAACTATTTTTGACAGGACAGGTGCATGTCGTATACCTTCTATTGACAAATAGCACCCCTTTCATATGCCTAGTTCTTTACATTCCTTAAAACTGCAGTAAATGTACCTTCTTTTAAATATGAGTGCATTACAAAACCAGGAAGTTCTCTCCATTTTTTTCCCCCACAGCCATGAAATGCATTTGTTTGCCCTTTTGGTTCCTTTTACACCCAAATAGCAGATTTCCCTACCCTTTTATATACCTCAAATAGCGATAACTAGCAGTAAAGGTACATGTATCCCTCTAGCTAGTAATTCACGTGGTACAAAGCCACCATGCTGGAGAGTAAGAGAAACACTGGTACAAGAAAAAGCAAAAACACTTAATTAGTTATTCATAATTTCAAATGATAATTTATTTGTCTTGTCCCAGTACGTCTCCAGCATGGCGGTTTTATACCATGTCAGGAGCCCATGACCACGTGAATGACTTGATGCAAAGGTTTGATGTGCCATTATATATTACGCGCCAAGAATCAGTGAACCGGAACCAGGAAGAAAAGTAGTCTTCAATGGTATGGATAATGAAAACGGTATGAAATACAACTTGCATAATTCAGTTGCGGTGCATTATTTTTAAATGACAGAGCGGTTGCCGCCTATTCCTTCTTGAAAATGAATAAAACATTTAACATTTTTCTAATATTTAGTCTAACAATTAAAATACCTCGGAACTAAAGAAGGATATGACGCACATTATGTAAAATAAACAGTGACATCATCGTAACCAAATAAGGACATGATCCCTACAGGTTAATCATTGCTCAAAAGTAACTAGGAAAGTGAAGAAACCTTCCAAACCAGTTTAAAATCAATTATGACCATATATAACAAACCTAAAACCTGTCAAACCGGTTTAACAATCAAAAAATAACTCTTGACGTTATCTTAATGAGATTCCTCCGCATTTCTCTCACGAGATAAAGACATTTAAAGGCTCTGACGGCGCTTATCATCGGTGCTTTTGTTTTCTGCGCAAACTAATAAGATTCCTGGGCAAAAAAGGCGTAAAACATCCTTGCAATACTAGTTAACATATGGGCACCAAGCCATGGATCTTCATCTGCGAAACTGTGTTCATTCCTACATCATCGGCCTTTCCCAGTCTTAGCAAGGCAAGAAGGACGGATAATTACTGCTACTGACCTAGATATACCGTGTACTACGGTAGTCTAAATAAAATACTCAAGTTCTTCGTTCAGATTACAATGTGATTATGCACTGTTATTATGGGCAATGTTGGAACAGCTTATACCTTGTTTCCATCAATCTTCATAGCCAGAGTCCATCCACCAACTCCACAAGCGTCAGTTTCCGTAGTGGACATGTTGCAATAAATATCCAAAATATCATCTCCCAAAATCAGTGGGTAAGCTTTGCTTTCATTTGATCTACAAGGAACAAAATAACTTAATAAGGGAGATCCTAGGACAAAAATATACAGTTGAGCCCAATTGATCGCTAGTAATGATCGGCTAGTGGTTACCTGGTGATCAGCCTTCCTAACCGCCGTCCTAGTGACGCATCACGCAACCCTTTAATTGCGCGACGAGCCAAAGTTTAGCTGGAGGACTAAAACGGCTCACAACGATCCTTGTCGAGGGGAGCGCAAGATTGCGAAAGGTCGAAGTTAAAAACCGATTTTCTGACTTCTTTGGTTAACGCCTCCAGCTTAAATGCAAATTCTGTCCATAATATCATCAGTAAGCAATGCCTAAAAAAATGAAGACTACGCAAAAGCAATTAAGCCAAGTTCGTGGCGCGAAAGAAATGTACAGACACAAATTAAAGTAGAAGACAATGAAAACCTAGCTAGTAATGAATATAACGCAATGTTGTCGACAACACTGACCAAATGATCTTGCTCAAACTTAATTTTATCTTATTGTTGGTTTTCACATGACGTCACTAAAGTTCAAACTGTAAAACAAGCGACCTTACTGAGACTTTACTTTCATGACGTATTAAAGCAGCTAAAAACTAATATTCATACAAACTTTTGTTTCGAAAGGATTTTTGGTTTTGTGGTAGAGTACACACTGTATGCTTGAATTTAGAAGCTTTTGCTTGACGAGGCATTTACATGACGGCCGAGAGACAGGGGCACCCAACGGGAAATTTTGAGAAAAAGACCTTAAAACAACAACAAAGCATAAATAAAGGTTTCTGAAGCCATTTAAAGCATTTTCGGAGATTGCTGGAGAAACTACATCTGTTCCTCACTCCCAGCAAGACTAATGCAAGAGTTCTCAGCCATCAAGGTTCACATACAACCTGCAACCTGACTTACTCGGAAGTTTCCCAGCAGACGTATGTCCAGACATTACTGACCGGTTTGGGTGTGGTCCTAGGGAAAAATTCAGACCTTCAGTGGGAAGGGGGGGGGGGGGGTGGAAAAAGGGGGGTCCCCCAGGGGGGAATTTACCCCCTTTGGGGGGGAAGGGGGGTGGGGGGGGGGAAAAAAATTAAAAACCAAGGCAGAGGGGGCCAACCCCCAGAGGGGAGCCATTTTAGAAATCAAAACCCCTTCCAAACCCCCGGTTTGTTTTTTTTCTCACACAACAAAAGACATGAGAGAAAGTTCACAGCCAACACTGTTCACATACAACCTGCCACCCAGTTGACGGGGAATTTTCACAGGAGACGGATGCCCAGAAAGTCTGGCGGGGTTGGGGGGGGGTTCAGGGAAAAAATACCCACCTTGGGGGGGGGGGGGGGGGGGGGGGTAGACAAAAGGGTGTCGCCCAAGGGCGAAATTCACCCCTTTAGTCGGGAAAGGGGGTTGGGAGGGAGAGAAAAGATTAACATCATAGCAGCAGGAGCCTATCACCCAGATGGCAGCTATTCTAGACATCAAATCCCCTTCAGACACCCTGATTTGTCTTTTTCCCAGCTACACTTTCCTTCCAAGGACATATTATTTCCTCCACATCTCCCAGCCGGCAGAAATTTGCCGAACAGATCGATTGGATGCCCCTGGAGAGAGCTGTCATGTGACTTATTTTGGGCTATTGTGCTATCGGAACAGTTCATGTCAAAAGTATTACTATAATGTTTATGAGTTCCTCGAGAATTAAATGCACGCTTTCGTAACAAAACTCAGTGACAGATGTTTCTATTGCTTTCCGGCCGCCATGTTGGTGCCAATCCGTATGGGCACCAACATGACGTCTCCATACAAAGCTCTATAAATTTGGGTAAAACATTTCTCCGGAAATCTCGCATATGAAATATCGCTCTGACTTGAATCTTGGCGAGGTTCTTTGCATATTTACCTCCTTTCGATTCATTTCCAAGATTCTGGACTTTATCTGCTGCATGTAACATTTTTGACTTTTAATTCGATCTGTTTTGGTTGGAGTGACACCGAAAACCCGGCAACATGTATCTTTGTCTGTATGTGATCATACCCAGCGTAGTCAACCAAGTGCCCTTTTCAGGTCTGTGTTTATTGTTTTTTGTTCCCACTCAGTGCAGAATACTTGTGGTCATCAAAATAGGGCTTCTCAAATATTTTTAGTAGCGCTTCTAGCTTACGTGCAGAGGTGGTGTGCATTTTGTTTAACAACATTCATGAAACAATTTGTTGATTCGGAAGGAAGAGTTTTTCCAGTAGATTTGAAAATAGACAATTAAATCATATTCATGGGGAAATTTATGCGCTGAACAGTAGCATTCTTAATTTTTTTTTTTTTAAGACTGTTAAATAAGACCCTCCTCCATGGGGTAGTGACAATTTTAACTATCTTCTATTCAGCATGTAGATGTACAGTTTTTCTCAGATCATTACCGATCCCAAGCCCCCACAATGTAAACAAGGGCCTATTTACGGCAGAAGCCTAAAAATCAGAAAATATTACAGATGTGATAACAGAAAATAATAGTAGTCAAAGGAAGAAAGAAGAAGAAAAGAAGGCTGTGAAAAACCGAAAGAGAAAAGGTGTCTCATCTTCATCTCAGTGGGGGCGATGGCTATAGACGGTGAATATGATCCTGCCGAACTATATATATGGCGTCTATTAAGCTGGGAACGTTGATTTGGAAACGTTTGCTATTTACAACTCTAGCTATAAATAAGCCAATAAGGCTTACCTGAATTAATGTGCAACTACTTTCATGGAGCAGCTGAGATAGCAGTTTACTGAGAGTTTTTATGCATTTTTTTTTATGCAAATTAATTTGCCGAGAATCAGCTGTAATGCCCTTTGTTTTTCCATATAATGTAACTTTCAAACACTTGCTATACTGATGTTAGTTTTCCATACTTGAAAATTTAAAAAATTGTTATTGAAAATTAGCTAGATATCACCCCCATCGTTTCAATGAATAATTTAGATACCTTCCCCACTATCTTGGTGTATTGCTGCACTCTGCCTTTAAAAACTCCTTCTGTTTCTCAATTCCCCCCTTATAATGACTGCACAGTCCCCAAAACAAAAAGTTTGTGATTTTAATGGACTAAAAATTGAACTTGTACTTTTACTCACATTTTCTTGTTGTAAAGGTCTTTACACGATGAAACTGTGTTACAAAATAAAAGAAGGACAGTAATAAATAGAGTTGCTTTATAACCGTGCCAAATGATAGGTAGCTCCGTGCGCTTTAATGTAGATTTTGAATAAAACATGCAGTATACAATAATTCAAGGGAAAAAGTTATCCTTCCCAATCTAAAATTGCAACCAGTGTCCACAGCGACGGGAATATTTAGCAATCACATAATTACTGCATACTATCAAGAGCCATAATGGGCTCTTGATACTATCGAATCGACGGTATATTGTTCGCATCTTCGAACGGGTAAGCGCGCCAGTTGGTTATGAAGAGGGGGAGCCAATCATCAGATACGGCGAAATATTTTGAATAAATAATAATAAATGTTGGTATTCTCATATGGTGAACACTACGAATATTCACGTTCGGTTTGTGAAGTTCTTAATCATTACTTTCGGCACTTTTTTAAGGATTCTTTTACCAGTTTAAAAATAAAACGTTAAAACTCATGTAATGGCATGCTTTTTCAACCATCTGTTGTTTAAGAACTAGACAGTATAGACCTATACTGTCTTCAGTCAGACATGCATGGCGTTCATATTCTATCTATAACAAAAAGGCCACACTAAAACATATGGCTGGCCAATACATTGTGTTTTTTGGATTGCCAGGACTGGCAATGCATGGTATTGTCTGTTTACTTAATTTCTCTAGGACCTAGCAAGTCGATACAAAGCCTGCTAACCCACCTGGTTCACAATTCTTTCCATCTCCATAATATCCCGGTTGACAACTAGTGCAGTTGTAACCTCCCTTGGTATTATTGCAGTAAGCATTTGGACCGCAGTTGTGAGTATTTTTTGCGCATTCGTCTATGTCTGTAAAAGAAAGTTTATATAGTCAGTATGATGGTTCTATTAATGGGGAGAAACTCGCGAGAAATGCATGGTGCTGAGGAAAACCCTAAGTACTTCAGTACTGCAGAAAACAAGAGGACGAATGACTCCAAAACAGGTTGTTGAAAGCAGCTACAGCCCGTTGCCAAGTTTTTTTGGAAAAAAATTATCAAGCGGTTTCAAAATTAACATGAAATTTGTGGGAGTAGACTAAATTACTCACAAAAATGGTATCAAAAGCAGCTGAACGTAAGCTAATCAAATTCTTCTTTCTCGCAATCGGTCAAAGCAATTCCCCTTTTTTTTCGTACACAGTTTCAACTGAAATCAGACCACTATGAGATGAAACTGCATTTTCAGAGTTCATCTTTTCTTTTAATATTAGCGAGTTATGTCGATGGCATGTTTATTGGCTGTCTATGACCCTTTAAATTTCATTCCGAAATATTTCCAAAACGCTCTCATAAAATTTGTTGACACTTTGCCATAATCGAGACAGCGAAGGGAGTTAAAAGCTCCCTTTACCGATTTCCGAAAAAAAAAAAACTCCTGGTACCGAGAAATACATAGACAAATAATAAGCCTAATGGCCTCATTACGTTGCCATTGAAACTCTGATGTCAAAATAAAACACAAACCATAACAAATTTTCATCTTTATATAATACAGCTGTGGTGTACTTTTTCCGATATCTTTTGTTCATGGCTACGTAGTTAATTCTCAAACTTGGGAGGTATCCCCCTAAAAAAATTCAGTCGAGCCAGCTTAAAAACCACCACTTCCAATCAATCCCATCCTAAATGTGGTTCACAAAGAGACACTTTCGTGCACGATACCGTCACAAAAGTGATATTATTTTGTCTCCGTCGTCATGTACCATACACTCGCACTGACATGAAAACTCTTTAAACTGGTTATAACTAAGAACAGGTAGAAAAGTAGTGGGGAAAAAATAAATTCTAGCTAACTACCCCCCCCCCCCCCCGACCGAACAAAAACTTAAGTGGATAAGAAGAGTATTGGTTTTATACTTCTTTACTGCCCTATTTGCTTCTCGTTGACTGACCAATTTGTAGACGTTACGCTGTGAGACATCTCAACGTCAGGCAACACCAGAGAGTTCGCTTATTGACAATGAGATAGAAATTGAATTGCTAGGTACTAAAAGAGATTTCCCCCAAGACTGAGTTTTCTTTAATTACCTTTCAATGAACAGTCAAAATTCTGTTCTGGTGCATCTTCAAGTCTTGTATTATTTACTGTTTTGTTAAAAAATTCACTTACTACTTGTTGAAAATAATGAAAATTTAATGAGCGCCCACCACGAATACGCGCCCACGAAAACCGGAAAATTTGATAAGCGCGCCCAGCACGCCTAACAGAATAAATAATAAAGTAGTTTGCGCGGAAACTATGGAAACCTCTTGTGATATTGCCCTTTATTTATTTGCTACAATTTACAATATCTGGACTAGACAAAGATTTCAATTAACTTACCGTTCTCGCAATGATCCCCTTCAAATCCCACTGGACACAAACAGTGATATCCTTTACCGGTAAAACCGGTTTGACAGGTTGCTTTGTTCTTGCAAGGCTTATTTGCACAAGCGTTCTAGGGACACGGAAAGAAATAAGACATCCCTAATTTTTATAATACTTTAGCAAATTTTTTGTAAGATAATTTTCTTTGAACGTATATGAATTTAAAATGAATTTGACATTCTGATTTCATAACTCAGCAAGACGTTCTGACCCTATACCATGGCGCTCTGAAAGTATCCTATCCTTTCGCCGCTGCAATAGTCTACGTGACATCCTAGTCAGAGCCAAACACCGCAGACCACCCCCCAAAACACCTGGAACTTTCCGCTGTAACAGAAGTAGGTGCAAGACGTGTCCTTTTATTACAGAAGGAACCCAGGGGCGGATCCAGGATTTTTTTTAGGTGGGGGTGCACTCGTCTCTTGCTCTACTTCAACACCAATAAACCACATAATTTTTTTTTGTTGTTTTTTTTTTTTGCAGAAAACCAGTTGTATTAGAAAACCGCAGGTCATCTCAAGGGGGGTACGCACCCCCTACACCCTCTCCGTAGATCCGCCCCTGGAACCACGTCTTACACCTTCTACTCAACCAACGAAAACGACGCATCCCACACCACATTTCCTGTTCATCTTCCAGTCTCATTTACATGATCCAGTGCAATAAATGTAACATGCAATACATCGGCGAAAGTAAACGCCAGCTCAGTGACAGATTTGGAGAGCAACGACGCTCCATAGAAAAAGCCAGAAATCCACATGAATTTAATCATCCTACCGCCGTTTCAGACCACTTCTCCCTTCCAGATCATTCCATCAAGGACATAGAAATCATACCATTAGAACTAATTAATTCAGGCGGGCGAAACCTGTCTTCAAATTACATTTGTTTTGGAAAACTTTCATTATGTTTTCTAAAAAGTTGACAGTAGCGACCCCCAAGGCCGCATTACTTCAGAAAGTGATAGAACCATAATTGCAGCACTCGCAAACAATCTTCGATCCAAACAAGTAACATTTCGTTTCTTTACAAAGTTTCATAATTTGTAAAACTTTGCATACCTTAGCTCCACAGTATATATAACCTGGATTTGATTCCATATTTCCCTCTCCTTCTCTTGAGGTGGAGTTATTCAGCTCACATTTCCTTTTGACTTTGTTAAAGTTGTAACTGACGCAGTTTGGTTCCATGTAGCACAAAGTCCGGCAGGATCGTTCACTCTGGACCTCAGCAGTACGAATCACGTGATTTTTGAGGCGTTTTCCATCAAAAGAGTGATCAAACTCTATCTGGCGACATATGTCTGAGACAAATAGGAAATAAATGAGCTCACTGAAAATGGCTTGACGTTTAATGCAAGACCTCATATTCAATTCATGACTGATTGTTGAGGCTTTCTGCGAATCGCCGGAGACTGAACCTCCTCCCACGCCAATGATAACTCACTTGGAGAAAATTAATTTTTGCAAAAACTTAGAGCATGATGTAAAAAAAAAGGAAAATAAAAATTTGAATGATTTGAAGAAGTAATTCAACAAAATAAATTGATGGCATTAATTTTCTTACACCATGTTCTGTCGCACTTTGTGATAATCGTCGCACTTTGTTATACCTGACGCACCTCGTAGTAACACTTTGTGCACTTTGCAATAAAAAATCTGTCGAACTTTGTCGTAAAATTAGAATTAGTAGTCATTGTGGCAAATGAATGCCGCATGAGCAAATATGATAAAGACCTTTTTAGTGAGATAATATAGTAACTATAAAATAACGATGATGATGATGATGATAATGATTGTGGCACCGTGTTGTACTCGGAGTTTGTGGTTTTTATTTATACTACTATATGATAAATTTCTGCAATTTTATTTGCTTAGAGCAGTGGTATTTCAGCTTAATTTGAAATACCTACATGTGAAAATTACAAACCTTTTGTGGGTAGTAGTATAAACAAAAAAAAGCATTATTTGTTCGTGATATTTGGCATAAATACCACTCGTGATATTTCAAAATTATCTCAAATTTCACTCGCCTAACGGCTCGTGAAATTACGTATAACAATTTTGAAATATATATTTGAAATAATATTTATGCCAAATATCACTACAAATCGATGCTATTACCTATACTAATTTGGTCTCCTGTAATACTAGTATAATGGTTATTCATGGCGATAAACTCTAAAATCTCGTTATATCTGGTCATATCCTCGCAGGTTATGAAACCGGATTTGTCCGTTGCCCGTGCTACTAGTAAAACTTTCAAAATATTTTGCTTATACAATCACCTTTCGCCAGAAGGACACTTAATTTTATGGACAACCCGATAATACGGATAGCAGCTAAATTCCAATTCAAATTTCCATTATTACGGTCTCTCGCTGTTCCTGGGATACAATCTTATAGTCTCGAGGTCGTCCACATAGAAAAAGCTCTACTTCCCCACAAAGCTCTTGAATACTGAAGGCTGCAGTTGATGTCTCAAGCATGGCCTGAGGCTAATTTGCATAAAATCTTATAATGGTCATAACTTTGTGAAAATTTATCAGAACGTTCCAAAATTTGGCAACCCCGGAAAAATCGGTAACCTTAATTTTCCTGTAACGTAAGAAATCAGATAGCTGTGTCACGTGACCACTTTTGTTCGAGTCCAGAAAAGAAAAGAAAACTAAAAATGGGGTGCCCAGATGCCACACAGTATATATTAAATACAGTATTTTTGTTATTGTATCATCATTTCTCGCTTGAATCTGGCCGGAATGGTTGACTCACGTTTTTATTTAATTAGTAATTAAGCAAAATAGGTCACGAGCCACTTTTCACCTGTTAATATCTTTTTAAGAAATTAAAAATTATTTCCGTTCCGGCCATAGAAAAAATTCGTCCGGTAAAACAAACATTTACACATGGTTCAAATTTAGTTGTAATCAACCCTACCCCATTTTGAATTTCTTTTTGAATATCATTATGACGTCACGTTTCACGTGACTACATCACCTCAACCCTAATTAATTCAACGCCTCAAAAGAAAACTTCTCGAACGTTTTTTGGCAACTTTTAGAATTAAAATGCGTGGCCGTAGAAGAAACACAGCTTTATCTTCGCGTGGGGTCGAGACCCAAAATTGAGCCATGCCTTAATATGCTTGAGGTGAACACTTTTCTCCACCCTCACTTGAGAAATTGGTGCTGAAAACCGTTCAGTGGAATGTTTACTGATTTTTATTATTGTTATTGTTGTTGTTGTTTTTGTTGTTATTGTTATTTTATTATTGTTGTTGTCGTCGATGATGATACTTATTATTGGGTTTACTTGTTCTCCGATAATCCATTTCAAGTTCATTACATTAGGTGCGACAGGTATTACAAAGTTCGACGATTATTACTAGGTGCTACAGAACACACCACGCCAAAAGTAAAAAGCGAGAGCAACAATTAGACGACAACAGGTTCACAATAATGACTCTAGATAGCGTTTTTAATGCCCCAAGAGATAAACTTCTACCCTGACGAACTATGCCCCGGTCGCTAAAAAATAATTGTTAGACCTAATTGTTCAACATTTTTGTTTTTGGCATTGAACATACTTTACTATTTAAATCGATAGAGCTGCCAATTAGCTTTCAGTTAAGAATCGCCTTAATGTTTTCAAATGGATCTTTAGGCGATAAGGTTGTCTTTCCTTGAACAAGTTCGGATATCCTTTTACTCTGTGCTGCTTTCCTATACACTGCCTGTCAAGTGGTTGTAAAGAATATTTTTAAAAGGATAAACGAGTAAGCAACACTTCTACGAACGTCTTGAGTTGTAAAATTGTTTTATTGTCTCCTACGCTTTTCGTGTGACAAGCGCACACTTCATCAGGGCGTTTTACAGTACAACTAAGAGTACATGACTGTGTATATATACCTAAAAACGATCTGAATTTTAAATTGAACGCAAAACACAGTACACCTACGGATTTGCGTATAGGAACTGCAAAACTCGTGGTTATAGGCCTAGGAAACAGGGGCGGACAAATATTTTGCAAGGTGTGACATAATTGCAATCACTTTAGGGCCTACAGTTTAGTTAAGTACTCCTAGCAGACAGAAAACTTAAAATAAATAAAGGTTTTAATATGGGTCACTAAATTTGGCCGCTTTAATTTTCGCGGCACCTTTTTTTAAGGTGTAACAGACCCTCGA